AAAAACGCAGCATGGGAAACCTTCGTCCCCAGGAGGGTTTGAGGGAGAGAGCCCCGGCACGGCTCCGTGCCCACCAGTTACGGACTCCTGTTCTGCAGCGCTTGGCTGTCTCTTGGCTGATCCGCGGCAGCGGGAGTCCCCTCGTCGTGTAATATTTGAGGGCAAAGAGCAGAGGGGGTGGCAGCAAGCCCGCGCCTTGCGCCCAGCAGCGTCACGGTTGTGTTTCCCGCCCTTCGTTGCCTGAGGTAGCCAGGGCGCTCCAGAGGACTTTGCAAATTCACATAATTCTCCTTAATGGGCGCTTTTTTCTTATCTTTGGCCTCTTCTATTTTTTTTTTCTTGTTGGCTTTTTTTTTTTTTGCATTGCAATTTTGGCTGACAGAGGTGTGATTTCCGAAAGTCAGGCAACTCATCGCGTGCCGCACGCCAAGCGGAACACAAGAACACAAGCCGTTTCTCCCAGGAGCATGTGAGCTCTTGCATCAGCTCAGGATTTCTCCCTCCAGCCTGTCTGTACAGTGGTAGCTCCTGCGAGGTCATTTTCTTCTGGCCGAGCTGCTTTCCTGCCTCGGATGGCCGAGAGGTTGCTGTGGCGGTCGGGGGTGACGAACCGCCTCATGCTGTGCGATGGTTGCGTCTGTTGGCACAAAGCTACCCTAGCGGTTGTCGGTATGATAGCTTAACATTTAGGTTTCCTTAAATAAATAAATCCTCTTCTATGTGAAATGCGTTATTGCATATTCTAAATGCTTTATGAAAAATATATGCGACTCTTACAGTATTCTGTGTAAAGATTTTGGCAGTTGGAGCTGCGTAACACTGGGGTGATGCAGTCAGATCATAGGAAAAGGGTACGAGGTGCACTGTATGGGAAACGACAGGCTGTCAGAACGACATTGTACATCCGCTTGAAATGTACCACTGAAATCTTCCTCGTTTTTACTTCATGGCTTCATAAAAGGAGTCTTTAGAGGAATTCAGTGAACGTTTTGGTTTTTTCCCACGTGTATTTGCTGTTCCTTGTGTATTGAACTTTGTGCTACACACGACAGCTTATCTTTGGTATATTTCCTGCTATCCTTTATGATTTATTTTTATGGTGCGTTTTTATAAATTAGATTATATAGTCTCCAGTTTTGGCTGAAGCTAGCTGTGCGTGGCCTGTACGTAAGCTGCAGGGAATACTGTATTCTGTCACTGTTTTTGTTATATTGTTTTCTAGATCTTGAGACAATTCCTTTTGATTTAAGTCGAATATTTTTATAATTGTTCAGACTTGTAGTTACTTTCAGCAGAAACCATATTAGAAAATCTGGATCCTGATCTTAGCAAGTCTTGCCGCTGCTTTATTTTGAACAGTATTTTTTCCAATAAGTAGTCTGCAGCTGTGGTAACATTAGTAAAGTTTAATGTCAGAATACATTTGGTCATCCATAAATCTTGGCATTTGGACTGTATGAAATTTTTGAAACATTTTATTATTAAAAGGACAGTATCAGCATCTGTTGTTTATAATGGTCCTCTGAAAGCTTTCCTTTTATGTAGGTTTTATCTTTTGCATATAACATATCTGCATATTTCCCTTTTGAATGTAGCTGTAATTAGTGTTACTATTTTTATTTCCTTATTTGTTTGACAACAAAAGAAATATTGTGACTAAAAATAACAACTATTGATTTTAACTTCCCACTGTGGGAGCAGACAAGTGGGGCTTTTTTAAAACAAACAGGAACAGAGAATCCATTTCTGTTTCTGCCTTAAGTATTTATGGAGACAGCTTCAAGATTTTCTGCTTCTGCTGAAGTATTTGACAGCTTGATAACAAAATGCGTATAATAATACAAATAACAGCCTGTGTTGCTGGTGTGGTTTTCTTTTTTTCACTCCCATTTTGATTAAAGTTGTAACTGATATGCAACACTGTTTCAGGGTACATCTGTACTGCTGTCAGCAGTATCGCTCAAACAGAGGTAGCTGAGCTGTCTTTAAATGAACCGGCTCAGGTTCTGGAAACTGTCTAGCTGTGGCAGCAGAGTTTTACTCCAGTCTTATTTCCCTGATGGAGTAAGGGTCACAGGTTCCTTACAAATGAGGTATTTGCTATAATTGAACAGAGCTGGGAAGCTATTCCTTTGCAAGTATATTTTTCAGAGTCATGATTTTGCAAAGCGTCATGTTGTGTTGTCCAACAAACGCAAACAACTTCCATCTTCAGCCACTGCAGAGGGCTCATCCCAAAGGACAAGCTTATTTTCATTCAGGAGCCCTGGTGCTGATTTCCATTGTTGTGTTTCAAGGTTTTGCCACTTTGGAAAGGTCCTCACCAAAACTGCAGATAGTGGGACATTTTTTCTAGCCAGGATGACTCACTTGGGATTTGGGGTTTGGAGAGAGTGTTCTTCCCCACCCACCCCAAAGACAGAAGTTTTTTATAATTTGCTGTTTAACTATATCACTCTTCTGCTAAAATTTTCTGCTTTATGGTGGTTTGTGAACACTGGCCAAGAGATTCTTTTATTTTAGAATATCTGATTTGGTATTTTGATTTGATGCTGTTGACAAAGGATGCCCAAAGCGTTTGGAGTAATGTATTGAACACCTAGAAATATGTTATACATTCAGAGCAGCTAAAAATTCTTTGAAGGAAAATGAAACACCAAAAATAGTTCTCTAACAGTAGTCTGTATTTCAATAGGTTAAGTCTGTTGCTGGGAGTATTGGGACAATTGGTTTGGGGTTTTTTTTCCCAACACATGAGGACAGTATTACCAGAATTAACTCACCTTGGATTACCTCAGTCAGTCACTACCGTTAACAGTAAAATGAACGGTAAATTCTTTGACATCAGTGAACACATATATAAAATAAGTTAACTTTGAGTTTTCAGTGGTGGTTAAAGAGAGCAATCAAAAGACAAAACAGTATTCAATCAAAATAATTGTAAGCTTTTTGTCATGTGCGTGAGGAGGTTCTGCCCAAACAGAAACTTTCCGCAAATATAGGATTGTTCAAATGATTCATGGACTTTCACTACTTTTTTAAATTACAGAAAACCTGATAATTTTAAAAATTCATTTTCTAAATTATGTAGTACTTTCTCTCCCATGGTTCCTCATCAGTCATTTGGAACAGTATTTCTTATTATCTCGTAGCTGTGCTTGTTGTAGTGGACAGTGGTGCCACAAATCCGTCCTTGTCATGAGCAGTAACGAAGACAGTAATACACTGGTGAGGGGCGTTGCTGCTGGGAATATCTTTAGAGATAGGTATTCACCTTTCATTTAGGTAGTGAAATGGTGAAACGGGAAGCGTTCGTCTTGCTGTGTAAACTGTTGGATTTTGATGCGCAGATTACAGAGCCTTATCTGCAATGCTGAGTTACAACAGCTTGAATATCTCCAGTATAAACTGCAAATTTCAGTTGGTTAAAGAAGATGTTTCTAATGCTAGAATACCTTTAAATGTGTTGAAAGAGATTATAGGTGACTGAGTGCAAGGCATCTGGAGTTGTTTTTACATAAATTTTTGTAATCTTACATAGTTTCTATATTGCTACAGTACAACACTACGTACTAAGACTTCAGCAAATTTTCCCAGAGGTTCTTCTTGCTGCTTGTAATTCAGAGAATGAGACAAGCCGTAGCATCAGCATGTTAAGTGTGCTGGGTCTGACAGTAAGATGTGGGTTAGAAAGTTTCATACTGTAGTAAGCCAGGTACATACTGGAGGCAGGAGAAAATTCCATTTTGGACAAGCGTTTTCTGACATGATGGATGTTGCCTGATACCTTTCAAGAAGCAGAGAGGAATTAGTTTGGAGAAGATTCTTGGGAGTTCAGGTAAAAAGTTGCTTTCCGGAATGTTCCAGTTTTCACCTGCTAAGCTGCTCCTTACAGCACAAGATGTGAGCAGTGGGAGGAAAAGGAAAACTTTTGATGCACCTCTATTTACAGGGCTACTGCTGTGGTCTGGAATGGCTGGAGGAGTGTCATGCAGGTGGTTGAGAGTGTTATGGGAGGCTCTTTGTTCTTACTTGTACCCAGCCTGTAACCACAGAGAAGAAACTGGAATACAGCTTGATGAGAGCAAAACATTAGGGCTTGAACTTTCTTATCCTTGTCTTTCTGATACAGTGATAAATTCCTCATGCTGTACTGATAAAGTCCACCTGGGGTAATACCTGTAAAATGATAACATTTTGTCATATGAAGAAGTGTGGTCAGTAAGGTGTTGACTGACTGACTGGTAATATGCCACTTATATAATGGTGCAAAAATAAATAATAAAGTATCCTATGTATCAGGCATCCTGAAAGATAGAGGTGAACTGGTATTAATTCAATTTTTAGAACATCAATATCAGTTATTCTTTTAATTCTGCTCTCACTGCTTCTGAAAAATCTCTTGTTCAACAATGTTCTAACACCGCCAGTCAAATGCTTCAGGAAAGCATTCATATTTTTCCTAATAATTTAAAAATATCTCTCAATAATTGTATAATATTTGCTTGTTGAACTATTCTTTCTTTTTTTTTTTTCCTAGTTAGGGCATGCAGCTTCAATTATATCAACATTAGTGACTGTAGGAGTACTTCTTTTTATACTGCATGAATTATTGCTAATAAAAACAAAAGCAAACTAACGTCATATTCCTAACTATGTGAAGGAAGCCTTTGTTTACTTCATTCCTGTTGTTCTGATGCGACATTGTGTCTGAGACTAACTTCTTTACAATAGGGAACAGTAATTTTTCATATTAAAGTGCATGTGAAAGTACTCTAGTATTTAACGAGACGAAAAAACCTAGTCTGCCCACTAAATGTTCTTTGTTGTTCTCAGTCTTGCTTCATCAGTCACCAGTGCTGTAATTCAGCTGGTCCCGGAGTTTTAACTACATCTTCCAGTGTGGCAGCAGCAGGGGGAGCAGTGTAGCTTCATTTGGAGGCTGTCCTTGACCAGCGCTAGAGTTAGTTGGTTATTAGCCAAAACAATGCTACTCACGCTCAAAAATCAGCTCGTGTTAGGAAATCTTCTGCTTCACTCTCTTTAGGTGAGCTAGAAACATTATTCTGCAAGCTTTGCCTTGCTGCACGTCTGTGAAGCCCAAGTCCCTGAGATGTAGCAGTGTACCTGCTACGAGTAAATTATGATCAGGTTTTACACAGACTTTTTGTGTCCTGGTGCAGAGATAGGTCAGGCCAATTAGACTCACAGTCCTGAGGCTGGAAGCGATCTTTGGGGTGTGAGCTGATTCAGCTGCCTGCTCAGTGCTGGGCTGGGGCTTGGTCAGCTCAGTCTTGGAAACCTGCAAGGATGGAGGTTCTTACATCTTTCTGGGTTACCTTTTCTGATGCTTAATTATCTTCATAATTAAATATTTTTCCTTATCCTGTCCCATGCTAATGTATTGTAGGTCCTTTCCAACTCTAATCTACTCTATGGCCATTGGCCCTTGTTCCCCTGCCAGGCACCTCTATAAAGAGTCTGGCTCATCTCACATTTTATAATGTGCTTCGACACCTCACTTTGTCGCCTGTGTTGTAAATCAGGGAGGGGTTCCACTGTTTTATTTATACCAGAGATTTTTTACTGAAGTCTCTGGTCGAATGTTTTGGGTCAGTGACACACTCAAAAAAATCTCATCAAATGTTCCTGGTTTCTGTAAGACCATTGAATTGTGTATGCGTAACATACATATGTATAACAACTATAACATGTGCATCCTTGTATTTCCTGTCAGGAACTGCCTTCTGTATTACAGACATACAGACCTTCCCTGAAACAGTAGTGTCAGATGATTGCGTGTGTATCATGGTGTTGCAGCAAACTTCTTGGACTTTTTTTTTGGTTAGTATAGACAGTAGTCAGTGTAGACAGTAAATTTGAAAATGCAGTTAAGTACAGGGTGGAGAGCAAATAGCATGGTAATGTGTATGTATGTCTACGCATAATATCTTGAGCAGACACTGATTTTAAAATTTAATTACTGTGCAATCCAGTATCATGTTGGTCAAATCTAGATTAATGGATTTTTTGCACCTTTATATTTCAATTGTTTTTACTTGCAAGTTAATTTAATCCTGTGCTGCACATAATATGTCACTATGTTCCCACATGAATTTAAGATAAAAATATTATTTTTCATGTATCTGCCTAGCTTTTCTCTAGTGAAAATGTGTTAGGGTATCGTGTTGCTGGTATATAATTATAACTGTATTACATTTTTGGCATTTGTTGAATTAATCCCTTGCATACTTCCTGAAAATAAAAATGTTATTTAGATAAGTTACTGACATAACAAAATAAACTTTAAAATTATGTTCCTGTATACATATGTGTGTGTAGGAAGACGACCAAGATCGGGATGCTGTACATGGAAAGAAGATTATTAATCGGACGTTTCTTTCTCTTTCCCAAATTACTGCTTTGTCAGAACAAAATGTGGAAGGAGTTCAAAAGTAAGTGGCAATGATAACCATGCTAGAACCAATATGATACTGAAATAAAAATTGTAGTCCATTTGTTAGATTTGTGATGGTTATGTCACTAGTCTTTAACTGTTCGATTAAATCATTGATATTTAATATGATTCATGAAAGTTAGGAAGAAATGTTGTTGAACTTAGATCCAATTGGTTTTACTGTATTTCCTGTATCTTTTGATTTTTCTTAGACTCCTTTTTTTTTCCACTGGTACTTCACATTGATAGGGTTTCTGAGTTTACAGTAGCATTAAATATGTTGGAAATGAAAGACTAAGAGGTAAATAAGAACAGGCCAATACTGAACTTTTTTTATAAGTCTCACTTGATAACTTTTTTTGCTAAAACATTTAAGATTCTGTACTGTAACCTGAGTTATTGAAAAATCAGAAAGGTTTTTAAAGTTCAGGAAGGGATGGAAAGCTTAAGAAGGTATTAGTAGGTAACCATTACAGTGCACTGGGGAAATAGGAGGCAGCCAAAAACTTCTGACGTAAGCCCATCTTGTCTTTCCTGTAACAACACTCTCGCTTGTTATTAGTGCTTAATAGCAGCTAAATTTAGGAGGCCAGGAGTTCAACCTGAGACTCTAGACTTATACTTTAAGGATGAGATTTTTCAGCAGCGTCCAAATTATTTCGGAGCAGTTGCGTTGCCTGGCGAATTCTTAGTGATTTGAAAGCCAAAGGGCTGGTCCACTGGACTTGGGGGGAGGGGAAGAGATAAAATATCCAATCTTGTGCCTCTGAATAGGTAAATCATTTAGCAGAGATTAAAATATTGTTCCTGAAATATATTTTGTTCCTCCTGTTTTTCACTATTCTGAGGAAAAAACAAAAGCTCTGCCTGGGATTCTTTTTTTAAGAAAACTGGAAAAAAAAAATTGTTCCCATCAAATAATAACAAAAAAAATTCTTTCATTTACTGTCTTCTCTTGCATGATAGGCCTCTTATTTTAGAGGAGACTGAAGCGTACAACTCACTGGAGACTAAAATGTGCTTAATGACGCAATTTATTGTGAAACTTTCTGATTAAGGTTAAAAAGAAAAGCATTGAAAGATCATACATTTCTTCTTAGTCTCAGCTGATCACGTGTATTTCTATATATATATGTATAGAATATATATACACTGTGCAAGTGCATCTGAGTGAAAAGAGAGTAGTTACAGGGTATTTTATGCACAGTTTAGCAGCAGCTTTGAAATTTTGTTAGTTTACCACAGTGCATCATGTCTATACACAAGAGCAATTTGAAGGCCACAGCTGAGGTTAGAACATCAGAACAGATCTGATTCAGTAGGAGAATTTTTATGTCCTGTGTTCCCATCTATTGTGGAGTTTTATACTGATGTCTCTCTCGACTTGAGCCCCTTCTGTGAAGGAAGAAGTAGCCATCAGGGTAACTAGGAAATCTGAATTCCCCATCATTTCCCGATCATTTATAGCTACTGTTATCAGTGACATGCCTTACAGAATGTTGAAAAGATGAGTACTGGCATTGTTAGCAGCATCAGAGAAAATCTAAATCCCTGAGAAGCTCTGATTATGAAAACACAGGGTTGGCAGACGCTTCAGAAAGAGAGGATATGGACTGTTTCAAACCTTGGAAAGTTCAGCTGGCCACGTTCCACTTCTATTTCAGTACACAGTTAAGTGTTTTTAACCAACTTGCATGTGTACAGCGGTACAAATTTGTCATGCAGAACAAAGGAATACGTGTTTTAAACAAAACTGATTGGATTATATGCTTTACTTTGTTAGCTCTTGGAGCTTTTATTAAGAAAAGAAACTCATCTTATTTGACAGCATATCTCTACTGGCTTAGCGAAAACCCTGAAAAACTAATGGCTGCCGATCAGGTCTGAGATTAATGCCCTTCTTAGGAAGAATGAGGAGGGGAAAAAAGGCTTTGTGCTTTTACAGGGGACTAGAAACTGTGATCGCAACTGGCACCTATATCATCAGTTATAGTTAAGAAGGCAAGGATTCCTGTAATGTAAAACTGAACTACCTGAGACATGGCTGAAGTTATACTGGAAGAACTGAAGACTGAAGTCCTAGCCCTGATCCCCTCTTCTTCGTGTGGAAAAACGTGCACAATTATTATAAGAAACATAACTAATTCTATGTTTGGATAGAGTAAACATAAATGTGTCAGCAACAGCGTGATCTTCTACAAAGGAGTGTATTTTTTCATTACTTTTTCAGGATAAAGGAAGTGGAAAAATTTCCACAATGTGCCACTAAAATAGGAGGAGGCTCTGCTTAAATGTCTTGACCATTATGAAAGTGGAATTTAAACTTCTAAATATTTTAGGTACCTTCAGTAATTTTATATTATATTGTTTACATTAATTTTCAAATGTAATTTTTCTTCAGAGGCTACATGAAAAAGAATCTTGAAAGGGAAGCAAGCTGTTTTTAGTACTGTAAAACTGTCTCAATCAGAGTGAAAGAATGGTAGGAGAAAGTGGAGACTAATTGTTCCATTTCATCCTAGAAAACCGTGCCTGAACAAACACTGATTTTTCTCTGAGATTTTCAGTGTATTTCTTGTGGGTTTTTTGTAATGCTCTTATTTTTGTTATTTAAATAATCATGTCTTAACGTTTAAATGGCATCTGTTGAAACCTGTATATCTTTGTTTACTTTCTTCAGCTGATGTGTCCTCTGGTCATAAATGGTCGTATCTAGAAATTGATGTAGCCAAGTTCCAGGAAGATCTATACATATATGTGTAATAAAGTAAAAGTAAATATTATAATTACAAGCAGACTAAGTGAAAGTTCAGAATCTGTAATTTATTTTTTAATGTCATTATTTTAATCTGCAATTTCTTCTAGAAAGCTGGAAGAATTTCTGAATTTTAAACAATTAAAGACATCTTTGAAAGAAGCTATTTTGCTAGATTATTATACTGCGGGATTTTGGTGGGCTAAAGAAATGAACTTCAGTCTTATACAGCTTTCAGAATTCATGGATCTATTAAATTTTCTGTTGGAGAACCTCAGTGGTAAGTATAATTAGAAATTGTAAAATAAATATCTGAAGTGCAAGGCAAGAATGTTTTCCAGTCATTTTAATAAAGCAAAATTTAATTACAAGTAATTGTAAAATGATTTATTTTCCTCTTGAATGTTGGCATGTTATACCTTGTACCTGAAAATAATTTACTGGCAGACATTAAACTTTAGTTAGAGAGAACTGTTGTCTTTTTAACAGAATATCCCTCATTCTTTGTACAGTATGTGGTACAAAAGGGCCAGGTCCTGGAGAGACATTATCTTTGCTATAGTAAAATAAATAATAATTGCAGTAGAGTGAGAGCAAGGTGCTCCTAAATTCCAGTTCCAGCTGTCTCAGTGACTGACTCACTGTAGCCTTGGGCACATTTCTCTGCTGTTTTAGATATTCAGTACATCCTGTAGCATTACAGCAGGTGAGTTACATTTATTTTAGCCTTGGATGTCAACTCTCAGGCAGCTTTCTAGATGGCAAATGCTGCCCTTTTGGCGCAAAATATATTGGTTAACTCAAGACTGGTGAGGGAAGTAAACTGGCATCACTGCTGAAGATGAAAAATTACAATGGAAGGACTGTAGCTCCCGTGGCTACAAGGAAATTTGCAACTAAGCATGTAGCTTGGGTCTAATGGGAACAAAATAGCCAGAAAAAATGGCAGCAGCATCCTCTAAAACCAATTTTTCAGAGATCACAGTGCTTACTTAACATTCACTTTGAAGGTGATTATGTCGAGAAAAGTCCATCCCAGAGGAAGAGTGAAAGGACTCAGTGGTTCCATTCAAAGAGAAGATGAATATTTAAAGTCAAGCTCATAATAGTTATTATACTCCTTCATTGTGATTTAATTCAAGGGCCTTTCTGACTTGGAATTTTGACAGAATACGTATGTGCTTTATGATCATTGGATTTCCAGTTGTCCTTCCTGTCTCCAATGAGAAAGTATTTTAACATATGCTAACTGTGTTAATATAACAATGGAGAAGAGTGGAAACATGTCAGAAATTAGGTTTATGAGACTATATGTAATGCATGTGTACTAGACAGGCTGGTAGCACAACCAATTATTAAAGCTGACCGACGTATTTCAGGAATGGGATGTTGGTTGCATAAGGCTTTGCCAAACTTTAACTCTTTAAACTGAGAGATTTTCCGTAGCAATGTCTGCCTCTGATTAATTTTTGTATATAAAATTACAACTAAAACAGCTCCATGGGCTTGCAGACAGAGGCTGTGGAAAAAAAATTTATTATTTTGTGCCCTCTGCCCCCCCCCTTTTTTTAACACCTCTAATACCCCTGTGCTCTGAATCAAAGACATAAGGTTTGGCAAGTGTTGTGAATTTGACAGGAGGCTTCTTATATTTTTTTTCACAGCTGAGTTCCACAAATAATCCATCTTGTGAAGTACGCTGTAGCCCAGGGCTGAGATGAATTTCCTTGTATTTACCGTTCTCAGCTGGTGCAAGTTCCAAGACCAAACATTTCAACTAAGAGCAAAACGCTAATGTCTTCTATATTAATGACTACTTCCTTTCCCTTCCCTACATTGGGCCCAAGCGGCCTGGAGAATTAAGCTGATTTGACCATAATAGCAAGAATAGCATGGAGCAGGAGGAATGGATATAGAGAAGGAGGGTAGTGGAAATTCATTTAAGGCTGGTAAAGGAGAGAGGAAAACTACGGTTTGGAAACTGGAGGCTTTGGTTCATTGGGAGCCAGGATTAATTACTTATGTGATTTGATTTATCCCCTGTACATTGAGGGTAAAGTGCTCCTTAACTCACAGAAATACTGTGAGAGCCTTCCTGAAGGAGGTAGTTGGGGCTGAAAATCAGTTGTGCGGAGTCCAGAGAAAATTTGGACTAGCTGGTGCCAGACCTGTGCCTGGGTGTTGTGACTTCTCACGATCTTGTTATGTATCTTTGCTTCCCTACAAACTGTGATATTTCTGATTCTATTGCTCTTTCACATTTCCCATGGCTTCTATTCCACTCTACTTCCTTCAAAATCTCTATTTCTTTCTCGTTTCTTCCATTATGGTTATTTATATTGTGCTGCCTCTGTTACTGAAAACTGAGGTGAAATTCTCAGGGTTTTGATTGCTGTACCACTAAAAGGCAAAACTATAAAGACCAGAATATTGTAAGATTTTTAATTTGTTTTCTGTACAAAGAACCAAAGAGCAGATCCGTAGAGAATTAAAACAATAAGGAAAATAAATCTGTTTCACCACTGGTGGATATTTCCTCATTTTCTACTCTAGACTTTTTAGACTTTAGAAGAATAAGTGAACTGTGTTCAAAACTTTTTTTAAACTCCACCGTGGTTCTAGTGATGGCACACACTGTACGCAAATCAGAAGGATGAATCCTTTCTTTTTTAAAGGTTCAGCGAACACTGATGTATTTCAGATTTTCATCTTTGTCAAGACAGTTAGCAAAAAAGATTTTAAATTTTAATTCAAAGCTGTTTGGGCATTTCGTTTTCATTTCCAGGGTAAAAATGTAAAGTAATTATCTGTTTTGAGCGGGTGCAAAAATGTCTCAAAGTTTGATAATACATGCAGAGTATTATGCATATTCATGTTTAATCAATTCTGACTGTAAGCACTTAAAAAAATTGGTTACCCTTTTTAACATCCATTCCTATATTACTGGTTTATATTGCAAGAGGCATGGTCAGAATCACAATCTTTTACAATATGTAAACAGTAGCATATTTATTTTAAATATAAACATACTATACATCTCAAATTTACATACTATTCTGCTTGTGGTTATCTCTGCATAAGTAAGAGGCCAAGCTGTAGTATCTTAAATACCCAATATTGTGATCCTTACATTATGAAGGTGGGTCAGTGATTTTGTGATGGAATTTTAATGCACATTTTATTGATACCTATAATGGCAACAGAAAAAAATGTTGGACTGCTGTTGCTTTTTAAGTTTCTACACGGCTCGCAATGTAACTTCTTGAACTTCAAGAAGTCTTAAAATGGGCCAAAAAACCCCACCCCACCCTGTCATGTTTATACTTAGTTTTTGTTCTTTGGGATTATTTTACAGATAAACATATGACCTTAGGAGATAATTTAAAAGAACTTGGAAAAGCAATGGCTGGAATAGGAGAAGCTGATTCAGAAAGAAGTGGTGACTTGAGTTTCTTTAGCATCGAGCAAGCCAAAGCAGTTATTGATTACTTGAATATCAGGTATTTATTTCTACAAGGTCTGTTATTTCTTATTTGAATCATTTAGCATGGTGGGTTATCAGCTGAGAAAATAAGTTAAAATTATTTAATTAGATATATTAATACTGTGCCAAATACTGCGCACAACAAACTTTAAAACATTAAAAAGAAGAGAGAATATACAAATAGCAGTAAAGATCTGGTCCCAGATGTCAAAGTCCAGGAAATAAATTTAGACTGGAAGCTTACCAAAATGTAAGATTGTACTGAAAAGCTTTCTTCTGGGTTTTGTTTTGGATAATAAAAGGGAAAGGGAAGAGTGGCGTTTAGAGAATATTCTGGGTTTGCTGTTAAAACATTTAATTTTTAGGTTCCAGTTGAACAAAATCCTAGGTCTTGTCTATAACTTTAAGTATTTGTCTGGCCTTGAAAGCTGTACTGGACTTCTTAAGTGATTTAAAGTTTTGCATTTTACAGAATTAAGGCTGTGGTCATATACGAGTCATTAAAATGTTGCATTTCAAAGTTAGCAAAAGTTCAGTACCTACATGAAAAAGTTTCATGGCAGGTCTCAGCTTTTAAACAGAGGCACAGAAAGAGATGCAAACAGAAGTAATTTGGTTATTTATCTGAGAAAAAAATTAAGGGTCTGATAGCAGCCAAGCACACCTCTCCATGTAAAGTCTTAACTACACAGTAACGTATACAGACCTTTCTCCACTGAAATGCCGTGGTTAAAAATCAAACAAATCTCAGATTTGTATAGTCAAGGAAAACCAATGTCCTGCCAAGTACTAGACCTAAATTAAAAGGAAACTTGGCGTTTAAGATGTCTCACTCAACTTCTGTTACTTCTCCCTTCCTGTCTGTGCCTTTTGTATATTTATTTGGAGCAAATTTTCTTTCCAAATAGCGTGTCTATAGCTTTTGTGTAAATTATCTGTTGAAAGATATCTTGTCCATGAAGTAATTCATTTGCAGTTGCAAGAATTTCATCCAAGAGATTAGGTGTTCTATCCTACTACCACCGAAGTATTAACTGGGTGGGAATACAATCAAGCCACAAGATTTTTGCAGCAGAATTTTATTTTGGCCACCAAATATGTGGTTGTATATTCAAACTGCTCAATTTATTACACGTATGTGCTAATGCAAGGTCATGGATATATACACTGAAATGTGTCATATGTGTCTGGTTTATACAATCCATTATTTCAGTCATTTGAATATTTATTTTTCTAAATAAGAACTGAATAAGCACCCTTCTTATGCTGGTATATTTTCAAATTTATGAACTCAGAAATAGATTCACTGAGTTTTATTATGATTCAGATTAATGTATTATTTCAACATTTTTTCTTTTTCTTCACTTTTTTGTTTAACTTTAAATGATAGACCTATGCCTTTTTTCTACTTGAGATAGTATGACATGTTTTAGTTCAGATCACATTTTTACAGATGAGCTATAAACCCATGGGATTTATAATGGAAATGGGGACAAATGCTTAACCACATTCGCACAAACTGTGCAGCAACTATAATGACACCTTCAGGTTTGGTGGAAGGTGACAGTTATCATCTTTTTATCTTGTCTCCTTGGGCAAGCATACATCAACATAGCTCTTGACATTTTCTTTCAGGAAGCAGTGGAGCTAGGGAAATATGTCATTGTTAATCCCCTTCACATTCTCGTATGACATCGTAAGAGAGTCTATTCTTAACAACCTGACTTGCAAGAGTAATTAGTAATTGCTAAAAAGCATTGGTGCAGAATTTTTTAGTAGTTCACAACATATACAAGCAAAAAAAGCCTTTTGTATAGTGTCTGGTAGAAGAAAGAAATCTACACTGTGTTTTCCAAAGAAATACTGAGGTATAATTTACCTGATTTCATTTAAAGAGCATTAAATGGAGGAATTCTTTCCTTGATATAGTATTAAGAGTGCCAGATTAAATGGAGTTCTGTCTAAAAAATTAAATAAAATTTGAAAATGACAAAATAATGACATATTTTTGGGAATATTATAAATTATCTGTACCTGTAACATAGTCCATAAAGGATATTATAACACATTCAGAGGGCAAGAGCTGTTTTTCAGGTGCTGTAAATCTGGTTCCTTTCCAAGGCACTGGAATTAATAAAAGAAAAAAAAAGTTTGAAAAGTTCTGTCTGTGCAGTTTGAAAGACATATATCTTATTTCTGGTGTGTCTGTGTTGTTCATAAAATACTTTTTAGTCTTCTTCAAATAAAACCTGTTAGAATTTTACCAGATAATAGGTGTGCATGTGAGGGGACACATGTGTTTTCATAAATTGGTGTGAGTCATTTCCAGGTTAAGTACTGAAGTCTGCTTAAACATAATCCCTGTATCTCCACTGAAACATGGCAGGAATTCTTTGTGATGTATTGCAGTAAAAATGTACCGCAAATTAAATGGCAAGTATTGTAACAACTTAATTGCCTACGTGCTTTGAGTTCGCAGGAAGGGAACTTGTAGTTTATGGTAGCCAAATTTCTTATACAAGTTCATAAACAAATTTGGTTTTTAACTAATGGTAGTTGAGTGACTGAATTATATGTAACTGTAGAATAAAACTTTTATATGGCACTTAAAGAGCCAAATGTTCAGTGAGGCTGCCATAATACTTCTTACCAAATTAGGAAATACATCTGTACATATGTGCAAAAATGTGTGTGCCAATTCAGGTAAAAATGTATTTGAAAGCTTCATAGATGCATTTGCCTAACTGCTGGAAGACGTACTGTTATAATGCGAGAGAGGCAGGCCGTGCCGCCATTTTAGTCTCCTAATTCCGAGCTGCTTTTGTGGGCTGGAAGAACCACTGCTGTCCATTAGTCGGCAACTCAGCACTGCTGAAATTCGAGCAAATTGTCTCGGATCTGCAGTATTTCGTGGAACCTCTGGTACTGTGGCAGCAAGTAATTGCCAGTGGTGATTCAGGGAAGGTCAGCCAGGGTGGCTTCTTCATGGGACGGACAGCCAGGGTGGCTGCTGCGGGGCTGGCTCTTGGTGAGCCCTGGCAGCACCACATCTCAAGGAGCAGCCGGTGCTGAGTTGTGTGGCCGGCACTGGTGCTGGAAACACGTTTTCATAGCATTTGCCTGATAAGCTGCAACTAGTAGCAGTATCTTTAGCACTAGCTAGATAATTGCCCATGTTTGGTGTAGCAGCTACTATTGTAGACCCATAGAAAAACTGAGGTTGGAAGGGACTTCTGGAGGCCATCTGGTCCAAAGCCCTCCTCACAGCAGGCCTCAGTATTCCGGATGTGGCCTTGCAAGTGCTGAGCAAAGAGGCATTGCCGTCCAAGTTGATGGCTCTCAAGAAAAGCACCTGTGTCTTGTCCTTAGCCGGAAAGCACAGGAGCCAGTTACAGATGTTCCCTGCAAATATTGCTGTATCTTTCATGGGTACGTCAGGAGGGAGAGTGGTAAAGTCTTGGAATCATTCTTCAGCCTGGGCTTGCTATGCAATCACAGAGCTATGTTTTAAATCATGTGTCAAAATGACATGACAGAAGCCAGAAGTTCTGTATCATGATTTTAAGAGAACAAGTAATTGTAACAGATGGACTGTGACAAACCAAACCTTTGATTAAACAAATGCCGTATCGTTGATCATTAAGAAAGGGAACACAGAAAACTATTTAAAACATGTGAAAAGGAAAGCCGTGTATGTTTTAAGGAAGAGAAACATTTTAGGCCATTAAGAAAGTCTACTTAAATACTTTGGTTGTAATACACAAAACTCTAGTCTGTAAATCTAGTTTTTTAGTTTTTCTTTGAGGAAATACTACGCTGACTTTGAAACATAATCTTGACAGAATAAATGCTTCCATTCTTTATAGTTTTGCTGTTCCAAGATCAAATTTGCTCCCTGGACTGGCAGCCCATCCAAGAATCTGAAAGCTGATTTGGCTTTGTTTCCTTCTTGTCCACTATTGCTAATATTAAAGGCATAAGTACCCTGGTGATAAGTGCTTCAGGAATTACTTTTTTCAGAGTAGAACTTTGTCTTCTCAGAGTTCAATTTCATCAGGACAAAATGGATGTGTTTTCAAGTATCATACTGCATTTTCGGTGGCCATCTGATAGTAAATCCTAGAAGTTAAATATTCTGCAGATTGTACCTGAAGTTAAACAACCTTTCCTTTTTAAAATTTGGAGCATTACCATGCTGGAGACTAATTCTTAGTTTAACAGAATTTTTAATATTGTTAGCTTTCCAAAGATTTACAACCACAATAGTACTATATTCTTTTGTTTTCCAGCTTATTTAAACACTATAAACTGTATGAATACCTCTTCCACAGTCCTAGAGAAGAACTTGTGATAAGTAATGAGGTAAGTCATTTATATAGATGGAACTCATTATGCGGAGTTATTTAATGAATGCACCATGGCATATGTTTTGTATTGCTCAAAGCAACTTCATGTCAACATTACTGCATTACTAACATAAAATGGCTGATTAAAGAATACAAGTTAGATGTTTTGATCCTCATATTCAAAATTAATTTTGGATCTCAATAAAGTATAAATGCCTTGCTTTGTTAACATATTAGTTGTGTTAAATCAGGAATACTTTTGTGTATGCATTTATAGGTTGATGCATATAATTTGAAATAGCAATGCATGAGTCTGACTCTATTTTAAAATCAGCAATCAAAATAGGAAAAGGTTGTATACCACGCCTAGTCTGACCACAGTGCTAATATTTATGTATGCATGTGTATGTACAGGGGTTTGTTTCTACTTTAGCCACCAACAGCTAATTATACTGACTGAAAAGAAGCAAGCTAGCTGGAAATTCAGCGTTTGGAAAGCATTCAGTTAATAGTAGTGAATGGTCTTGACTGTAAACTTTGTCATGTATTCTGACTGACATATGAAAAAATACATAGGGGCAGGATGAGGCCTTTAATCAAATAGACAGATCCAATTCATCAAATAAACCTTCCTTCAGCTTGACTGTTCGTTTTGAGGATAGGTGTTACAATACATTGAAAAGGATTTAAATTTATAATCAGGAGACAACTGGTTGCTCAGAGAGGCACAGTAGTGGAATTTTTTTGATGGCACTTATATTTTGGCTTATCAGTACACAGTGAAGTTAAAGTTAATGCACTGGAAAATTTTCTTTACACTTTAAGCTGGTGCTTTCACTCTGTAAATGATGTGGGATAATTTCTTCCCGTGTTGCTTTTAAATAGTCACATTAGAAAAAAAGAAGGACTTTTCTTGACATGGATGCAAATATTTGGAAATTAGTCTCATCATCTGTAACATGGGTTAAAATTCCAGTTATGATGAAATCAGTCACAAAACTGTCATTACATAAGTAGAGCAGGATTTCAGCAGTACTCTGTTAGGATTGGGGTTTTTATATTAGCTAACCAGATCAATGGCTGGTTAGCACTTTCTAATTGGTAAAATTATTTTTAATGAGGCTTTGATTAAGTAATTTCTTGTGTAAATTTGGGTAATCTATTTTACCAGTTGTAGAGTAGCTTAAAAGAAACTCCTTTGTGTTTTCTTAAAACCCATTTCCGGATGGCTGAGGTCAGCATACACTGTCCCAGCCACGGAGGAGCAGTTGCTCTGCATGGTCTGTGAGGGAGTACCACCTCTGCTGAAGGTACCATCTCCACTAAGGAATGGCAGAAATGTGTTTCTGTAAATTACTTTGGTGATGATCCGTCAAAGGAACAAGTGCAATCTACAATTATAACTGTCACAAAAAACCTTCATGACAATTTTTAGCCATAACTCTTTTATGGCCATTTCTTACCTATGCACCAGTTCAGTATAATCCATCTCTTTTGTATTCTGAGTTCCATGGCAGAGAGTCTTGAATTTGTCCAACCACACTGCAATGCCCAAGAAAATCAATACTTCTGTTCCTGTGGAGTTTATTTTGATAGCTTCATACATTGTTCTTCTATAAGTAACAGTTTAAGGCATTGAAGCTACACATACAAATTTATGGCATTATTTGCACTTGCTTTATGTGTTCAAATGTGATGAGAGGTGAACCTAACAGAGATTTTAAGTTCTTCTGCTGCAACTTTGTTATATTTAGAAATGCTTTTCCATAAAGGAGAGCATTACCTTCTGTGTTTGAAGTCGCTTAGATGAACAGCTCAAACCCTGACAAGTTAGTGGGGCAGATGTGGCTTGGTGTGTATGGCTATGGCAGGAGCACACCTGGGGTCGCGTGCTCTGCAGTGCGTCTGCGCAGGGAACAGGAGGGGCAGGAGATCAACTGGGAAATCTGCATGCAGAAAGTACACGATAAATCTGTGCTGAAAGGCTGAGTGCTGTCTTCCTATGTAGATCAATGTCTTGCCAAAAAAAAAAAAAAACACCCACCACGTAGACACACCATGACCCACAGCTGGATGTGATCCTTACTCTAAGCTAAATGCTGCTAATATATAAAAAGTTTTATTTTCGCTCCAGCGATAAAAATCTGTTCTTTTGGAATGAGGGGCTGTAAATTGTGATGGCCGAATTTGCCCAGATAACAAGAACCATGGTGTTCCAAGAGCGTAATTACAGTATTATCTCCTTTTGCAAATGAAGACTTTGAGACAAGTCAGTGAAATGACTTATTTCAGCTGAAATTATTTCCTTCGACTGGAATGGCTTGCTTTAGCTCAGGGAGTAAATTTGTGCTCCACGTGTGCCGAAAGTATTACCTACTGAATAAAAGTCCAGTAGCCTAATGAGAAGACCTGCTTCTTTAAGAGAGATACAGCTACAAAAAATAAAAGCAGGTACTGAGTGTTGTAATGGATATCCTTTTAGAGAAACCACAGTATGTGTTTCCCTGGGAAATCTTATAGCAATGGATTGTAAACCCTTTGGATTTTATTTTTTCTTTAGCACAGGCAATTATACAGTGTTCTCAGTCAGGTTTCCTTTTTGATCTTTCACTGCAGTTATTTCCAAATGACCCTGTAATTTCCTGTGTAGAATAAAATCAGACGAGAAAAGGGAAATGACTCAAAACTCAGTTAGATTATGCATACGATATCTGTGGCCATGCCACTTAACAAAATCTAAGTTACTTAAATGTGACACGTAATTAGTGGAGCTTCACAGTCTGATTAATATTCTGTGCTTGATGCAGCTAGCATAATAGAATCACCTTTGTAAAATACAGACAGCATTTAAGTTAAAAAAAAAGTAACAAACGGCTGGCTAATTTAAATATATTTTTACATTGGCTGAAACCTTTAAACCAAACTGCCTGAGGTGATCACATTGCCTAGGAAAAAAAAAGGTTCAAACTGAAAGACGTGAATGCTTGGTTAGATGATAAAACACACATCATGCATCTAACCTACTTTGGCAGTATTTAAAATTTAAAACTTGCCTTTCCAGCTATCAAATCCCTTACTTCTCCTTAATTCCAGATCTACAAAGACCCATATATTGTGTATGCGTGAACACCTGTTAGAAAACATGACGGTACAAGGAATTACTGAGAAGTCTTAAGATTGCCAAGTAAATTCGTTGCTTTTTTTCAGTTACTATTACGAGTAGTTCCCCACATTTAGGATGATTACAGGAGAAGCAGTGCTTAGCTGTTCTGTGGCTATGATCCAATATAAAACTCATGTAGTGCTAACATACCAGAGTTCTTCAGGAATATCGTTGTTAAAGATACTGTTTTTTCCTTTTGCCTGTTCTGGAGGTTTTACTCTCTAGCTGTGATTTAGTACACCTATATTAGCCCGCAATTTCAAAGAAAGCAAAAGGAGTACAGACTAAATCTTGATGTGCAGGGATTCAAAGGAGCAATTCCTATTAACATGTCAGATCTTATAACAAAGTTCTAAATTGTTAATACATGAATTGTGTAGAAGTTTCTCTTCTATTTCTATGTTCAGTTAATTTATTTTGCTTTGATAGGATGAGATGTTACAGCACATCTTGAGGTTTTTTTCTCACATTTACAAATTGTACCTTATACTGCAGTTCATGTTTTTGCTGCTCTCTGTTGTGTATTTTTGGACGGAATGAGGCTATGGTCTTTTGGGATTATGACTGCTTTGAAACATTTCCTAATAAAAATAATGTGGTTGGTAAATCTAGTTTTATTCCTAGTTGCTTTAGCCAGCCTGATGGAGTAATCTGCTATTTTATGGCCCAGATGACTAGCTAAGTTTGACTTCTTGAAATAGTAGCGTACAATGTAATTTTCTTTAGAGATGTCATAGTGGGTCAGGTTGCAATAAAAATATCGAAGATTAAGTTTAATGGCAGTGCAGATTCAGTATTATAGCAGTCACTAGATATCAGCCTCTATACTTAGAGTTCCAAAACAGTTTCCATTAATGCCTTCTTTCCATGTACTCCTTACTTTCAGAAACATTAAGCTTTCGGACTATGTCTGGTCTTTATCCAGTTGTGGGTTGGTTTGTTTTTTTTTTTGGAAAGTTTTAACAATATCCCTTCTGTGTTTGAATTTAAGGGGGTGGAAAGGAAGAATATACTATTTGAAAGCTAGTAAAGCTTTTTTTCTGATAGGAAAACACCTGAAATCTGGGACTTGACTTTGATATGTAATCCTTATTAGGTGTTACATATTTAGATTGGTTAATCAATCATTGTTTAAACAAATTTGCTCAATGATTTCTTGAGAACTGCATTTTAGCAACGTATGATACCAAAACACAAGCCTATCAGTTAACACTAGAGAAACTTGTTCCCCAGCCAATGGAGTGCATGCTTTTCAAAGCTTGGAGGTTTCAGATATTTGTAATGCTTAAAAACCACTGAGTTGATTTCCTGTAGCTTTGTTTTGTAAATATCACCATGGCAAAGACATCAAGACTACTTTGAAGGAAATAAGAGCATAGGACTGGAAGGGACCTCTTCAATTGTCAGCTCTAGTGCCACTTTCTCATAGGAAAACATATATAATCCTCTTCAGAAACTTCTCAAACTCTGGCTTAAAAAGTTAATTTTTTTGTCTTTACTCTTCCAGTTAGAAAGCTAGCCTGGTGCCTGGTTTCTGTAATGGTTATAAAACTTCTTATTTCCAGTCTAAGTGTATTCATTACAAGCTTACATACATTTGTTCTTGTGCCGATTTGTGCCAGTAATGACCTTTAGTTCTTGTTCCATCCCCAGTGTTTATTTTTCTAGTGTATAAAGAGACCGCAATCTTATTGTCAGCCTTCATTTAGCTAAACTAGAAAAGCCAGCCTTGTCTAATCTTCGCTTTTATGGTAGGCTTTTGATACATACATTCTTACATGCGTACCAGGCTCTAGTCATCCTGTTGGCCTTTTTCTATAATTGTTCCGCTTTAAATCAATTTTGTTTGAACA